CAAGAGTTAGGATGACCTGCCTAAATTGACATAGTAGGCATTTTACACCAACAAGAACATAACTTATAAAACATTTCAAAATATTTGTACCATATTACAAAATAACACTATGCTGTTAATCAAAAAGGCATTTCAAACTATTTCAAATTTGACTATAGGTGAGAAAGGGTAGGTTTGCCTTTACCATACAGGGAGAGAACTTGTTTGTCACTTGTTCTAATGGGTTTTAATTGAATTATAGATAAACCAACAGACCATGGTTCCTGAACAAACCTGATAAGACTATATACTTGAAATGTAACTGTCTAATTCAATCAATAATAACTATTCGGTCTTATCTCTGTGGTGGTCTTTGTTAACATTTTGAACAAGTGATCTTGGTTTGAAAAATCAAGTTGTGCTCTTGAAACATCTTGTATTGCTCTCTGTGCATTGTCATTTATAATATCAAGTATTCAAGTGAAGATTACATAAACTTGGCAAATCAACCATATAGGATTAAAAACATATTGGTTTTTGGCACAGAATCCATAGCAATTTATTGTTTAGAGCAATCATGCCTTTTTTGTTGTCAAATAACATGTAAATATTTATTTATAAAGCATTCTATAATTCTGAGTCGAAATTGTTTTCTTAACTTTGATTTTTATATATATTTTGCCATTATGTCCCTTTCATTGAATACATGCCGGAGGTCTGTCATCAATATAGCCAGAGCTTACATACCTTTATTTCCAAGGGTATTGTATATTAACAACTTCACACTTAGTGTGCAGTGAAATTTGGGAGAAATGAAACATGATGTCATGGTAAAAAGTTTGGCGGCTATACAGGAATATATAGCCGACCTTCAGCTAAAATTGACTTCAATACAAATGCTTCGCTGGCATGTAATATATTTATATATTTCGTCGCATGAGAATAGCTTTGTACTATCTCACATTTTTACGGAACTGAGAAATCAAGGTTTGAAAGTTTAGAGGTCTGTATCTTACTAAGTATTGCTATGTGAAACTTGATTTTTTGTATGTCACCTGGTCTCACCCTAGAGATATCTTATATGAAATATCATACCTTGAAACAATTTACAAGATCCTTTTTTAAAACTATGGAAATGGAGATACAATTTCCCACCGGAATAACAGCTTATTTCTAATTTCAAATTGTCATATCTGATATCAACTGTTTCAACCAATCAACTCTCTAAGAATTGGTCATGTGACTTGCAAAACTTGGAGTTATAACAATCTTATATTAAAACAAAGTATGCCAATATGCATGTTATTGTATCTAGAATGAAAAATAATGTTTTGCTTTGTAAAAAAATCTTCAAAAACCAAAGAATATTATTTAATAAAATAAAGAAAATTCAATTTATAAAACTTTAAAATTAATTTCTCAAATAAGTACAATTATTTCTTAATTTTGGAATCTCAGGACACCCTTCAAAAAGAATTTATTGCCTTTGAAACTAAGGCAGAAGTACAATGCATTGAAACCAATGATGCCAATACGGTCCCCCACATACTTCCCTCGGTATAAACCCTGTAGCCTAAACCTCCCAGCACATTACAATGTAGCCCCTAAGGGCCGGTCCGCTGTTCATTATCAGGTTCCTTACAGACCAGTTGATTTTTCACTGGGTATAGGAGAATAACATTGCAACTGGTCCGTAATTCCATTTTGACCAGCAGGTTTCAGATCCTTAGGGCCTAAGACATAACCAATTTTTATTGCATGCACATGGAAGAAATTTGAAAATAGAAAAATAATTTCTAATTCATTTTAGATTAATGAAAGTGATGAAACCTCGATTTAGGTAATCACACTTTGTTCATTGGGATGCAGCTATCATTATCCATTCATTTTCTGTTGTTTGCTACTCTGTGGAGTACAATTGGGAATTGAAGCAATTGTAGAAGTGGAGATTAAGAGTGGCTCTTTGTAAAGAAATTGAACCAATTTGTTACTTTTCCAAAATAAAATGTAGATGATCTAAAAACAATGATCCCAAAAATGCAAAAGAAAGGACAAATCTGAAAAACATACTAGTAATAAAATAACTAAAAAGATCCCAGATGTTCAGTGAAAAGCGCAAAGTAAATCATAGATGAAGAGAAAATAAAATAAGTGTTTTAAGGGACTATACTAACATAAAGATAACTCCTTATTGATATAGTGTATGGTCAGTAAAAGTTAAAGCTAGTTTAAATAGATTTAGCTTTTTTCCACAAACTATAAAACATCATTTTGAAAGAGATTTCTATAGTATACAGACAGTGATTGCCTTTGAGCAATGTAGTGCAAAATATGACAGTTACTATTTGTTTTGATTACTATATCTAGTATATAACCTATTATTATGTACTTTATTTGAAGAAACAAATAAGTAGTCTTTCATTTTCAACATTTAATGATGACAGCTTCGTATATGCATTTCTATTGCATTTGGCCATTCAAACCCCTATAAGACCTGGTAGCAGGGGAGATAAAGGGTACTTTTGACTGCTCACATGATCTAATTAACTGTTAATTTGTACTTTTCATCTTTCCTGGTAGCAAGGATTTAGATTTTCGAGGAAATTAGTAATTCTATTTCATATCATGTGGCCATGAATAATCCAATGAGCATCCATAATACAAAGAGTAATTGAGGGCATATAATTTGAATATGCATGGGATTACACATACTGTATCATTTTATTTTTATCGCACTTTGAAAAAGTGCTATATTGTCGTCGTCTTGTGCTGTTGGGCGGGCGTACGGGCGTACGGGCGTGCGGGCGTGCGGGTGTGCGGGCGTGCGGGCGGGCGGGCGGGACATAAACCAAATCTTGTCATCAAATTTCCAGGATAACTGCTTACCTGTTCAACTTGAAATTTTTACAGATGCAAGAGCAGACTAGTACCAAGATCTGATTAGGTTTAGGGCATGCTGGGTAAAATATGTGGCGGCCATTTTGAATTTTTCAACAAATCTTGTCATCAAAATTCCAGGAAAACCACTTATCCGTTCAACTTGAAATTTTTACAGATGCAAGAGCAGACTATTGCCAAGATCTGATTAGGTTTTGGGTATGCTGGCTGAATTACATGGTGGCCATTTTGAATTTTTCAATTTGGCGGCCATTTTGAATTTTTCAACTTGCTCCAAATTGACCCAATTTTTTTTTTAAAAACATCTACAAGTTCTCAGAAGTTCAAATCTGACCTTAGATTTCAGATTTGACCTTTCATTCACCTTCAGTGACCTTGAAAAGGTCAAAAAAGTAGATTTTCTAAATTGATATTTTGGATTTAAATTTAGGTCAGCTTAATTACAAAACACCTACTGAGGTCTGAAAAAGTTAAATTTTCAAGGTCGAAGGTCAAGGTCATAAAACTAGGTCACAAATAATGTTATCCAAGTTTCTCAAAGTTTGAGACTACAAATCAATTCTTGTCATCAAAATTCCAAGAAAACCGCTAACCTGTTCAACTTGAAATTTTTACACATGCAATAGCAGACTAGTGCCAAGATCTGATTAGGTTAAGGGCCTGCTGGGTAAACTATGTGGCGGCCATTTTGAATTTTTCAACAAATCTTGTCATCAAAATTCCAGGAAAACCACTTATCCGTTCAACTTGAAATTTTTACAGATGCAAGAGCAGACTATTGCCAAGATCTGATTAGGTTTTGTGTATGCTGGCTGAATTACATGGTGGCCATTTTGAATTTTTCAATTTGGCGGCCATTTTGAATTTTTCAACTTGCTCCAAATTGACCAAATTTTTTTTTCAAAAACATCTACAAGTTCTCAGAAGTTCAAATCTGACCTTAGATTTCAGATTTGACCTTTCATTCACCTTCAGTGACCTTGAAAAGGTCAAAAATTTGATTTTCTAAATTGATATTTTGGATTTAAATTTAGGTCAGCTTAATTACAAAACACCTACTGAGGTCTGAAAAAGTGAAATTTTCAGGGTCGAAGGTCATCAAATTAGGTCACAAACAATGTTATCTAAATTTTCCCAAAGTTCAAGACTACAAATAAATTCTTGTCATCAAAATTGCAGGAAAACCGCTAACCTTGTCAACTTGAAATGTTTACAGATGCAAGAGCAGACTAGTGCCAAGGTCTGATTAGGTTTTGGCCATGCTGGGTAAATTGCATGGTGGCCAGTTTGCTCTTCAAAGTGCGATATTTATCACTGTGTGTCTTGTTTGATCTACTTGTAATAGTTCTAAAACTAAAACATGAAAGGCCAGGCATGGAAACTGGCATGGTATTGTGTTACAAAACATTATTTCATTCTAGATACAATAACATGCATATTGGCATACTTCGTTTTAATATAAGATTGTTATAACTTCAAGTTTTGCAAGTCACATGACCAATTCTTAGAGAGTTGATTGGTTGAAACAGTTGATATCAGATATGACAATTTGAAATTAGAAATAATCTGTTTGTCTGGAGATGGTACAATTTCACACTAAATTCTAGCTTAATGAGAGGGAATTGAGATGGGGCATGTATCTGAGATGAAAGCCTGTGTTTCAAATAGTAAAATTCCATGTCTATCTCAATTTTTTTGAAAATGGCAGTTAGTACAAAGTTATTCTCACGCGACGATTTGTGGAATGAAATTCAGTAACTAATGTGGCGATTAGTGTTGCCTGGGGTCTCTGGACATGCCCCCGCCATATCCCTACATCACACCTCCAAAAACTAATGTTTATTTTGAGATGTTTCATTAATATTTACATGTCGTGCAACAAAATCCAAAACAATCTAGCCATGCCATCTACTGACAGTCCTCTAAATACAATAGAGAAAGCTGAGACTCATTTTACCATAATATATCGAAGGTCAATCCAACATCTTGAATCAAAGTGTGTACCAAGAGTTACTGGTAAGTTAGCAATAAACAGCCGGCCACCCCTAAAGCAATATGCCTTCATTTGGTACTAGTTTTACAGCCTATTACATAAGTTAACCTAGTAAAGAGAACAAATAATATTTGTATACATTTAATGTACATACTTGTTTTATTTTATTTTATAATAAGATACAGTAATATGACAAGTTTTATAAAATACAATTTGGTCTTGAGCATTCAACTGTCACACTGACATACAGATTACTATACACATATATTTATGTGTTTTTTGTGATCATGTAACCATGGTATTGTCATCCTCATGCATGGCTTATTTTATCTTTTTAAATAATATTATACCATATTATTGTTGCAATAGACTATGAATATCATGATCCTTGGTTGATGATTTGTTGAGTCATTCTCTCGTTCTTCCCACTTTGTGGGTGACAAAACAAAATACTGGTTTGATTAAAATTTAAAAATTGAGGGCTCCTTAATATTGATAATAAATATTGATGAAATCAATAGGATGACCCCTGTTGTGGTCTCTTAATGAAAAAATCAACAGCAAAATAAATAGACTACCCTGGGCTAGAGGTTAGCTCTAATACACGTAGATGAAGCCATCTTTAAGAAGCTGATTCAAACAAATACACATGGTAAGGATTTACCATCCGCAGAGATGAATGAAGAACAGAGAGGAACTGGTGCATTTGGAGAATGTTGTTGTCACCGACTTATTGCATATTTCAACATCACGATAATGACATCACAGTTCTTGTTTTCCTCTATGGGCAAAGGCTTTAAGGTGAGCTAATTGTGATTTAAATTTATCTGCTTTTTCTTTTACTGAAAGTAGAGAGTCATAAAATTGTTAACGTAAAAATATGGGATGGTGTACAATATATCAGCACATGCACATAAGGGTGTAATAATACATGAAGCAGATAAGCAAAATGGTAGATAAATTTTGTGATGCATATACATGTACAGAGGTTTTTGGCATGAAAATTGAAAAATGATTGTTTCACTAGTATATTTCATATTATTACTCTAGGGTATCAAATCATTCCTGAATGAGAAAGAGATGCCATAAGCAGAGACTTTCAGAAACTTGGGACCTTGCAATTGAGTTGTCTTGAGATGAGTTGTCAAGACCTCCACACTGAATTTAACCAAGGTGCCCTTGTCACATTCAAGGATATAACAGTTTACACCAGATGAAATACAGCTTTGTACAAGGGGCCCATAGTTCCTCTACTAACACAGTGATTTATACTAAGCATACTCATCGATCACACCCATCGCAAGCCCCTGGCTACGCCTATGCCACACTCAGTGATTTATTAACAAAATGTGATTTTTACAATCAAAATGACGAGTTTCTCAAAACCGAGAAAACTTAAAAGATGGCAAAGGACAGACCAAGTGATAGATGAACTGACACCTAACTCACTGATCAAGAGGAGGGAAAACCCCATGATTCAATTGATGACATACCATTTCCTCCTTCGCCAGTGTTGTCATTAACAGCCGGTCCACTGGTCATTATCTGGTTACTTTTGATACGGACCAGTTGATTTTTTCACTAGGTATAGGAAAATAACATTGCAACTGGTCCGTAATATCATTTTGACCAGCAGGTTTCAGCCCCTTAGTGTCTACACTGTCCTTCGCACACCTCCTTTCCCAGAAGTACTTACCCTCCATCTTGGCTTTTCAAAGTTTTCAAATTGACCTACTTTTAAACCAATGAACGATCGACTCGCTAAACCAATCAGCGATGATGTCATCTCAATACAGATTTATATTATAAGCATATGTCATCTTTGAACCCTGGGGTTTCTCCCCCTCTTTCACAGATCTATTGGCTCATAAAACACTTGATAACAGCAACACCAAGGCATGGCAAATCCCATTGAATACTTCTCTCCCATACTTCTCTCTTGCTCCATCTTTTAAACATGTGAAAATCAAAATGATTAAAACAAATTATAATACACAAAAGATTAGCCTCTAATAACTCAAACAAAGATTTTGTTTTAAACACCTACCTAAATTCTTTTTCTTGTTAATTTTAAACTCATTTGGCTCCAACGGGGTATCTTCTTTTCCCTGAAGATAAATAAAGACAATGTACATGTATATTCTTAATGACTGATATTAAGTTATAAAGAGAAGACATTTATATAAAGATCTCTGTTTTTCTCTTGCATTAAGATCTCTGTTTTTCTCTTGCATAAGACCACTGTTTTTTCTATTAAGATCACTGTTTTTCTCTTGCATTAAAATCACTGTTTTTCTCTTGCATTAAGATCATTGTTTTTTTCTCTTGCATTAAGATCACTGTTTTTCTCTTGCATTAAAATCACTGTTTTTCTCTTGCATTAATTTCTCTTGCATTAAGATTACTGTTTTTCTCTTGCATTAAGATCACTGTTTTTCTCTTGCATTAAGATCATTGTTTTTCTGTTGCATTAGATCACTGTTTTCTATTGCATTAAGATCACTGTTTTCCTATTGCATTAAGACCATTGTTTTTCACTTGCATTAAAATCACTGTTTTTCTCTTGCATTAAGATCATTGTTTTTTTCTCTTCAGTTACAGGAATCCTGACTGAACTTAAATTGTTGGGGAAATAAAATCATTGTGCAAATAAAGTGGTTCATCATGAACTTTTTGCAAAAATTTTTAATATCAAAATTACACTCAGTACTCACATATGCTTCGACACCATGTATGTTGGCCCCTGAGATTTCTAGCTTGAAATGTTCGAAGAAGAGATATGATGTGCCGCCTGGTCTCTCCACAGAACAGGACCAGTGTGACTCGTCATCATCATGTGAGATTGCAAACACCCATTCCTGGAAAAGAGTTATTTTATAGTGTTAGGAGTGATCACTGTCACCTGATGGTTAGATTACTGTAATTATAATTCGTTGCTTAAAATTAACAAGATGAAGTGTAAGGTGTTCTTCTACCTTCTACAGAAATTGCTCACATTTTAAAAATCAAATTGTGAGTTCTATTCTAGCTTTTCACTCTTACAGATTTTTGGCTAGCATCACACATACCTCTTTGGTTCCACCCTGGCAAGCATATGTAAATTTGCAGTTGAAGTCTCCCTGAAAAGATAAGTTATATAAATTTTAAGTATTAAAGACAGTGCATTGTTGATCAGACATTTTTAAGTTCAAAGAATAAAATAGTGTTTACTGGTTGTTACCATCAAAATCACCATCATTTTGCTAATATTCAGAGGAATAGTTCAAACAAGTGACAAAAAGAGCTCTTGGTTAGCTATGAATTGTTGGTTAGCATATAGAGCCAATAAATACAATATTGTATGGTACACAGTCATGCCTAGTAGTGTTGTCGCGATGTGCCATAATCATACATCGATGCATCCGCAATTTTTAATAGTAAACATTGATGCACATCAGGAAAAATCTTACCAAATTCACGACTCCATTATAAAAATAAATAAAATTCTGAATGCCACAAATAAATAATAGTAGTCTGGTAGGTCGTGTTTGTAAACAAATGTAAAAAATGGAGGTTATTGCTTCATTTCAATAAGCTAAACTGTTTTTAAAGTGATTTAGCATATCAGAGAATATTGGAAGATGAACTAAAAAATGAAAAAAAAGGTATGGCATTTGCATGAAAACGAGATAGGAAAAGGTGTTTTTAGCAGATTTACTATCTATGTTTTGTTTCAGACATCGATGCAGCGCCAGAATCACTTTTGGCAATGAACATCACGATGTATCGATTACAGTGCTGGTATATATTAATTGATTAGTCGTTTTATTGCCATATTTTCTTGAATTTTAACATTTAATGTCCCAAACTCACACAAACTTCAGAAAAGTATACACCATAAATCATATATACCAAAATGAGTGTCTCCAAGGCTTCACACCAGCGTATGCATAGTTCATTTGTCACGAGTTTGAGCTGAAATTTCGCCAAAATGAAGTAGGCTCAGGGTAGTCTCTGCCAGGTTTGTTTATTGTGGTAAGCTTGTAAGTGCTCAGAAGCAAATAATTCATGTGCGCAAAATAATCAAATAATCTGATTGGTTAAAACTTTGCTGCACATGCGCACAATTATGCCATGTTTTTTCTAGTGATTTCGTTTCGTTTCATGGAGTTTGCGTTTCAGTGTAACTTCCGCAAAAATGGCGGACCATGAACAGAATTAACAGGTAAAATCACTTCGTAATTTCAAGAGAACTTTTTACCTATAATAGCAAAACTTTTGTTTTATTTGTGCATTCTATCTATCAGATAAGAGTCTCAGGGGTATTTAGGCAAATTTATTTTGGTAGGAGCACTCTGTTTAGTTTGAAAACGCACCCTTAATTATTATATATCAGCACTGTAGACTAATCGCAACAACACTAATGCCTATAGTGTAGTGATAGACTCTCCCAAACGGTCGAAAAATAATTCCCGTTCACTCTAAGATAGCGAAAGTCATTATGTGATCATGACTGTATATAAATTTGATATGGATGTTGACTGGTGTTAGTGGGGGGGGGGGGGCTAAGGTAAGGTTACTCCCATATGATATCCCACAGGTATATTAGTAACCAAAAACGAGAAATCACACAGTATTCTTATGAGGAACAAAATGTTAGTATATGGATTTGTTGTCGTCTACATAAGAATTGTTTATAAACTATTTTTTCTTATTTTTTGAACCAATCAAATCCATGCACGTCGATTTTTCTCCTTCAAAGTAATCTTACCACGGTTTGGTCAAAGCTCTGGGTATGTCCACCTGGTTTCACATCGAAGTTGACCACCTGAACGTTTGACTCTCCTGTCTCTGGTTGATCAGCCCTTGTTGTGGCTAAAAACACACAAAAAATAAATAAATTTAGAAAACTTTGTGATGTTGACAGCGACATCTTGGAATGTTACTAAATTTCAAACTTTCGATGAGAAAACGAAATTGACTACAAAAAGAGCCAGCTGATGCTGCCATCTTTAAATCATCAATATTATGAAAGATGATTGACAAGTTGAACCAGTGTGTGTGGGGGAGGGATTACATCAATAAAACACACTACTATACCTAACACCTAGAAATGCATAAGATAATTTGTTTGTCTAATTGAATTGTTTAATATATTTTTGAAAGTGCCTTACTAGCATCTAATTTTCAACCGATAAACCATTCATAAGGAACAGACAAATAAAAACAAATACATAATCATTACTAATAAGCCAAATGGGTTGCTCATGAACACCTAATGCAAGGTATGGTAGTGTGAAAAGGGGGTAAATTTTTAAAAAACTTACCTTGTATGTGGTGCGTTCTAAGCACTTATAATTTAACTTTTTGTTGTTGTGGTGGTAGGGGTGATGGCACCCATCACACTCCCTGGCTCTGCCCATGCATAGCCTTCACAGGTGTTTATCTTAATTTTCAAAAAGTTAAAGCATTCATTGATTTCTGAATGGAAGATTCATGGAGTCAAATCTACTATTCTCCTTCATTCTTTAGCAAGTCAATGTTCTTCACTAGATGTGAATTCAAATGCATTTGGCTCAACATGTTTATCTTGTGGTATAAAACACTGGCGATCCAGATTTCAAGTTCTATAAAATAATTTCCGTGCTTGGGTGGCAAAAAATTTGGGCCCCTAAAACCTTGAGGCCCATTTTTGATAATTTGGCCTAAAAGGCCAAGTTTTGCCCAAAAAGGCCCATTTTTAAGCACAACAACAAGAATCCCTAAAATCCAATAGCCTTGTGTCAAATATGTTGTAATGTTATACCACCAACGTTTTCTAATGATAACATAATGAAGTTCAGAAGTTGTCATGTTTAAGAGGCCAGAACTCAAACTTTGAAGAATGTTATTGAAAAGGATGGAAATAAGAAAAAAAAGGAACAGGGGCATTTGGTCTGGTCTTTTGAGAGTAAGTCTCAACTTGGGAGGTTGAACATTTTGTTGTCTCATGTACACTTGTGTTTGGAATTTCAATCAGCCATAGAAACTCAATAAGAGAGTCATGATTAATATGACGATGTTTAATTGTTCACTACATTGTACAACACAAAATAATTAAAATTATTGCAAATACTTTTCTTCTTTATTTTCACTGGTCAAGAAAATACATATTTTACAGCATATGTCGTTTAAATACAAGTACTGCTCTAAAACTAACTACAGCTTAACTATTGAAGACTTGTTGCTTGGCTATGATTTCAGTCTTGCTTTAACATGTAGATGAACCATTATGGCAATGTGCCCTTAACAGCTTTACATGTTAATGTATAGGTTATCTGAGGAAGTGCGTTTTAAGATGATGAACTAGAAAGAATGCATGCAGATAATGTGAGAACAGCTCAATTGATCACTTTAGCTTGGTCTTCATAGTATTAAATCAGCTGATAATGGAACTGATCTTTACAATGTATAACTGCCAACAACTGGATGAACTCTTTACTATATCATCATATGTTTTTGAGATCATAAGCATTTACTTCAACGACTATAAATAGTATCAGCCACTTTAAACTCTCTGGCAATACAGGATTTAAATGAGCCTGTCAAAGCATCTTTAACAATTCCAGATTTCCATTTGGAAAGATGCACTTTTTCAACATGGTCTCCAGCAAAAGTTCTCCTTTTGTACGGGTTACATTGTAACCAATTATAGCGTAAGGTTTAATCCTCAAAAAGCTTTCTAAAATTGCACATTTGAACATACAAAAATAGCGTGCAGATTTTTCTACTTGAACATTGTTTATAACTCTACTATGGCTATTTACAGGAACTATGTAAAGCATATCTTTCGTTTAAGAACTCTTCAGTAAAGAAGATTTACATCATGCAATTTTTTTACAGCTCCATCTATTCATAACTGCTCCAATAATTTCCAAATGTACATACATGCTATCTTCTTTCCAAGAAATGCCATTTTTATGTTACATTTAGCATTTTTCAAATATCTACAAAATCAAGTTATAACTGGAAGCTTTTGACATTTATCCCGCTATGCTGCCTATGCTCTGCTATTTGAAATAGGCAATATGCCACAGTATTTTAACTATCTTGTCTGAAATGGGATACATCCCATGAATTGAAACATTAAACATGGTGATACCTAAAACTCAATTCTCAATTTTTACTTCTAAATGTCCTAATAGTGTAGTTTATAGTCGGTCATTAGAAATACATCTAAAACAGATTTAACTTTATTGTTAGGATAGTGTGATTTTACTCATATTTATTTTTAACCATTATATAAAAATCTGAAATGATAACATTGACACAACACACTTTTTTCTTTTACTTTTCTGCAATTTCTCCTTTTCCAAATCTTCATGAAAATAGTTCAAATGTGAAATAATATGGCCTAGAGTCTTCATTAGTTCTCGTGCCAATATATCATTTTGAACATTTTTATGAAAACTTTTAATCACCAACTATAGGGTTGTATAAAACAAGGATGGGGTCCTACTAACATCTATTACAAGTCTGTATACTGAGCTAATACAAGGCTCAAAATGTGTCCTCTTTTAACACTTATGTTATGCGTTTCCTTGTAATTAGTTAATTGTCTGATTCTTTCACCAGGTCTAAAATGTCACACCGAGTGTGTTTATGCGTAATCCAATAATACTCCTAAGAGGATGCCACATCGATCTGTGGTTGGTTTCTAGTCTCTTAGAGACACCCATATCCTTTGTTTATTGTTTTGTTTTCTGTCACTTGGTAATATAATATCCAAATGTTGTGCTGAAAACTGTCAGTACAGTTCTTTTCAACGTTACACTGTTTATCAGTGGCTAAAATCCCAGCAGTTTTAAAAGAAATGCAATCAAGAATTCATAAATCTTTTACTTGCGTTTATAATTTGTGAGATCATTTCAGAATGAGATGCAATACGCTGATTAGAATAGATGCGCGGTTAGGTTTAAAGAAGTTCTCTATCCAAATCCCACGAGGGATATTCATCATCGCAATATCCATTTCTGTTCCAATTAACAAACGACACTTGCATTTTCGATAAGGTTTATTCCCACGTCTGGAGTTATTCCGTGTATTAAAATATATCCAATGTGACGTTTTGAAATGAAAATGTCAGTAATCCAAACTTGTGATGTTGCGTTCAACACTAATACAATCTCCTGTCATTTTATAAATCCGATTAGCTCTGTTATTTCATATACAATAAGGTGTATTATATCATCCATATACTAATCTGATAATCTAATCCATGTTCTAGATTAACTCCATCGTCTTTTCCATTTCACAAGTATTCCACATTTTAATCAACTAAGTTTTAGTCCAGCCTCATTTTGGTATAAAGGGGTGTGGCGGGGCTGCAGTTGGAGGTATGGCTGCTGTGGGGGGTAGGTTTGGACCCCCGGGGATGGCTGATGCAACTGCTGTACTTGGGGTGATCAAAGCTGGAAGAACAAAGAAAGATTGAATAAATAAATAAAAGAATAATAAAAATTGTAAATGCTAACTTTAACAAATCACTAACAAAATCTCAGATCTTCTCTCAGAATCAACTACATTGCATACAAACATAATTCTTCTACTATGATTTTTTCAATCAATTTTATGATTTTTTTATCACTTGATATTTTGGGTCAAGATTTTATGATAGCTACTTTTATCAACCAATGTAAATACAAAACATACCTCCATAATGATCGTACATGGGTGGTGGGTAGCCCCCAATCTGATGTATGTGATGATGTTGGTGTAGGTGCCTCTGAGTTGGGGGTGAGTTCTGGTACTCCCTGGGGGTTTTAGCTCCTGACTCCGATGTGCTACTATTCAATGATGTAGGTGTGGTTGACTTAGGTGCCGTTTGGGGAGCTGTGGATCTAGGATGACCCTGTTGCTCAAGTTCATGTATTTTATGAGGAGAGTTGTAATAATGAGATGCACGTTGTTTGAATAAGTCTAAAGCTTTGGGTGATTCTGTTTTTCTAGGGGGAGTAGCTGCTTCGCGAGGGGGGCCAGGGGCTGTAGCTTTCTCACGAGCAATGTCTTTTTCATTATGTCCTGGGCCCCCTGGGAGCTGGTACCTCATTTGTGCTGGGTGGATATAGCTAGGGTGACCAGAGTATCCAATTACTGCTGGACCCCCCATTCCCCCATAGAGTGGCCCATATGGATATGCAGCAGGAGACATATAGGGATATCCCATGGGCACTTGTCCTTCTTTGCCCCCTTTGCCTAGATCTACAGGACTAGAATTTCTGTCATCATGACGTGGCCGCTCTCTATCACGACTACTTGGACGACTGTGTTGTTGAGGTTTCTCAGTACTAAGTCTATGTTCTGGACCTCCCTTCTCCTCTCTCTTTATGTTCTCCATACGTTGATCTCTAGTTGGCGCAGAGGGCTTGGCTTCTGGCTTTTCTTGTTTTACTTCAACATGTCTACGTTCAACAGGTCCTGATTGGGTAGAGGGCTTCCCCAGATTCCCAAGGTCTTTTTGGTCAAGGTCACGTCTTGCAGATGCTTGATGCTGTTGGTACATATAGAACCTCTCCAATTCCTTCTGTTGTCTATTCCTCACATCAGCAAGTTCTCTATGCTCTGCCTTAGGATCCATCTGTTTCTTTAGCTCTATACTCTCCTTCATTATCTGATGGTTCTCCTGCCTTTTCTCCTTATCCATGTTGGACTTAGCAGGGTCCTGGCGGAGATCAGTAGGTAGGTCTCTCGTGGGTGTTAATCTTGAGGTACTACTGCTTGGTTTGTTAGGTGGACCTCGACTTTCTGAGCGAGGTTCCATCTTATTTGGAGTTTGATTAGGATTGGGGTTAGCACTGGGGTCAGCACCCTGTTGCCTGGCAAGTTCTTTTCTGCGTTTCTCATGTTCTTCCATTAGTTTTTCATGTTGTTCTTTATACCTAGGGTCACTTGCTATCATCTGCATATAAGCTGGATCAACAAGGCCATAAGCAGTTAGATACTGCTGATACTGGACTTGGGCATACTGCTGCTGAAGCATCATCTGCTGTTGCTGTTGTTGAAGCTCACTAAGTCTCTCATGACCAACATCCTCAAGTTTCTTATCACCTTTATCACCATTGGTCGCTTCTTCCACTTTAGGTTTGGCTTCACTTGGTATACTATTGCTACTGCTTGGTCGGGATTCAACTGGTGGTTTCTTAACTGAGTCTGCCTGAGACTGGGGCTGGGGGGTGACATTTGGCGTAGCTTGTGCAGGTTGCGCTGACTGAATAGGTGGCGTCATTGGAGGTAAACTAGGGGACGACTGTGGAGTGTTGTTCCCCGATAGACCAGGGATCATATAGGGGGTTTGGTTATTATAATAAGGGGGGTATACACTATAACCACCTGGGATATTATGCTCTGGTCTATGTTCTGCATTGGCTTTATTAGCTTCACCTTTAACGGTCTCCTCAAGTTTCTTAACAACACTCTCAGTATCTAAAGGAGGGGTTGAGTCGGCAGCATCTGAGATATCTGAGTATGCTGGGCTCTGTACATTGTCTTCTGTATGGTCACGTTCAGTCTGAACATTCAATGGTGAGTTGACACGCATAGTCCCCAACCTGCCTTGGACAGGGGCTGAATTTAAATTAGAGTCTACTTTTTCTTTCTTTATGAGTGGGGGTGGTGGTTGTCGAGGACTGTTACTATGTGGAAGTTTGGCAGGTGGAGCAGATTTAATCACTTGAGAAGACTTGGAGAGATCAGCAGCTGTTTCTAGCTTAGGGGAACCACTTTGATCACGCTCCTTTTTACTCTTTTTCGCTTTAGGCTTACGGTCCTTAATTGCTGCTATGGCTGGGTTCACTGCACTGTCATTGGCTTGCCTAGGTTGGATAGGCTTGAGGGGAGGGGAGACCTGTTTGTGTGACATAGCTGGGGTAGTGTTCGACTGAGTTACTGTAGTATGTGAGGGAGCTACAGATCTCCCTTGATTGTTTTTTAACTTCGATTTGTCCTTATCAGTCTTTGATTTTTTATTCTCTGTTGAAGTTATAGCTATAGTGTCTGCCACTGGTATATTGGCTAAAGTTGCCGTGACAACCTTGGTGCCTGTGTGTTGTGACGCCGGGGTCGTTACTGACCCGATGACGCCATTGTTGAGCACCGTACTGCCTGATATATGATACATCTGACTGTTACCATGGCTACTGCTGGTGGTTACTACTGTCTTTGATTCTTGTTTCCCTTGAATGGGAGATACACTAGATTTGTTAGCAACTTTGGCACTAGAAGGTCCTTTATTTGAAGCATTTTTATTATTTGACATACTGGTGTTTGCAGAGTTTGTGTCCTGGTTAGGTTTACCTGTTGTGGCACTACCAGGGGTTGACTGTGACTGTGATGTCACAGTTGTGGTCTCTGACTTTTTCTCCTGAGTTTCTGATTTTTGAACAGTTTTTGCAGCGGATGTAGGTGTTTTATTGGAAGAACTAGTAGTTGTAGTTGACTTGGGTTGGGGAGATGGTTGAGGAGAAGGTGTAGGAACTCTCTCATCATCCCCTTTATCTTCAGTCTCAACCTCTGTGGCTGCCGTACTGTTTAGATGTGCATGTGTTTGGTGATACCTTAGTCCATTTATATGTTTGTATTTCTTATTACAGTTTTTCTCTGGGCACTCAATTAATCCTCCAGGGCCAGGACTTGGCTCTGGGGGTGCAGTGGCACTGCTGGGGGTGCCACGGGAATTAGACCTGCTGCGTTTGAACAGTTTACCATCCTCAGCACTGTTTGAGAGATCTATATCAGCTGGTCGTCCTTTACGTTTAACGCCGCTAGACGGGGCTGATACGTCAGATTTAGCTGGACTTGGCGGCGCCTGGAAGTTTCCCGAATTAGCAGAATTGGCAGTTCCACGTCTTCCTTTGCGTAATTTCCTACTTTGGGGGCCATCTGCAGGGGGCACATCATTGTTGCTAGATACAGTGCGCCCTCTCTTGCCTCCACGACGATTCGCAGGACGTGCTTCTAAGTCACTGGAAGGGGAGTCACAGGAAAACCTGAAAGTGCAAAAAAGAATCGTGAGAGTCGAGAAAAAACACAAATTCAAACCCCCAGGATGTAAAAATATAATTAAGTTCATTATCACAAACCGAGTAAAAATATGTCTAAATTGTCTATTTATCACTTCATAAATAAAAAAATGCCCAGGGAACATGTTTTTATTACCAACAATTATTCAAGATAATAAAACCGATAAAGAATAAAATGTGCATTTTATTATTTTATGCATAGCCAACAGTCAGTAAATATCAATTATTGTACAAATAAAGAAATACAATGAATGTCATGAAGCTATGAGGCTGCTGTATACAGGTGTACATGAAATACTGCGGCAGTTTGCACAACAAAGTTATCAACAATGAATGATGAAAATATGGAGAATTAGTATGGGATTTCATAACCATATTATGAATGACTGAAATGTTGCCAAATATAATTTGAAAAATCTAAATTAAACGCTTATGCTTCTTATCCACATAACTGAACACCTATTATGATATTGCATGTTCCAAAGTAGATTTGATATCGCAGAAGTGTTAATTTCACTAATTCTCATTTTTATTTTTTGCGTTTACATATATTACGAAGCCTACACTGTTATTACCAACTCAATAGGAGTACAGCTATGTGGGAGTTATGGGAGTACTTTATTTTTCGCATGTCATCATAAACACCCCAAATGATAGGAAATAATTCTATTTATGTCACTCTTGAAGTCATTTTCATTAAAATACATCCTATCACTTGTGAAGCCACCATAATATTCATTATTTCCATTTATATCATAAGTCAATCAAATGAACATTGAAGGATGAGCTTCCAATGATGTACTGTTCAATAAAACATGAGCGCTGGATTTTATTAGATGAGTCATAAATCAAACTGTCCTTGAGACATTCAAAAGCATTCAACAAATTCTCTATTAAAGTAATAAAATTCTCAAACCATTTCATTCCATGTAGTTTGCGCTAAAACCATACAAGTTGGATTTTCCCATTATATGGAGGTTCCTTTGCATTTATTGGCATTCCACGAACAAGACAGATTAAATATTTGTGAGATACGCTAGTCTATATTATGATATTACTCAGTTACAGCGCTAAGACATGATTGATGGGACGGTATAGTGGTTAAGATATCCGATCTATCGTCAAACACACCATATAAACTCTCTGAGAGGATATTAGCGTTTATCCCATACTTGGACGTGTTACGGGTACATAAAGCCGGTTTGTAAAAACTTATATTTTCATCAGCGGGCAGATATAGCTTTACGTCCCGCTCCGAGCGGGCAGATATAGTATATCTGCCCGCTACGTCATAATCGCTGTTCCCGTATTGGTTCTTTTTTTGTAACGTTCGCATACTGTAAACGACAATGCAGAAAAACGCAGACAATCGCGATCTATTTGATGCTTTAAAGAAGGGAAGGAGCACTATGCCCCGTTAATAATCAAAGATTTGAACAGGAAAATCCGGCTACGGACAAGAATACAAAACTGGACATGGATATCTTAAAATAATTCCACGGTTGGTTGCAAAGTTTCTGAACTTTGGCCAATTGAACAATGTGATTGATATGGGATAAACAGATCATCCCTATAGTCGGTTCAGGATATTTGGATTATCCCTTGGCCAATATAATATATCTACCCTCGGGACCTACGGCCCTCGGGCAGATATATTATACTGGCCTCGGGATAATCCCAATATCCTTAACCTCATATAGGATAATCTCTATATATTGTGAATCTACATCAATAAGTCCTGTATTAACCTATCCAGCAACAGGGTCTTCAAATTATGATATACAGACACAGGTGAAAACTACGCACAATTACACAAAGGAGATCCACTATAATAGAATATGACTGGCAGAAGTTCAGATCCTACATGTCAACCCAGGGTTCATTTGATTTTTTATGGGAAACTGACCCGTAATTAAAACTTGGTCCAAAATCAAGATGTGGCCCACCCTGGCTGGACATTGATTTGATATCTAACTATCTTTTATTTATTTTACTCTTAAACGAGTATTTGAAAGTCTTATCAAAGTTATTCTATCATAGAAACTTCAATAACGAATATACCAAATACACTATGGAGGTACATTTTCTGCAATTTCAATTTGGGGGAGATATAGAATACCATACAGTGCCATAAAACATACAGCCGCAAACAGGTGAACTCCGATCCAATGAAGCACTGGTACACCGAGTCTAACTACACACAGATGAAAAATACCAGATTTTTTAAGGCTAAAGTTATTCTCAGGTTTTATGTTAGGTTTAGTATCTTATCACGGGAGAATCCCCAGAATGAGGCGTGTAAACATCAAACCTTTCCCTTTCAAATTCACAACTGAAATCTTTACAGCCTTTTCTGAAGTATTCATCCCTTTTCAAGTAAAATGGAGATTCAATGATTTATGGTAATACCAATTCCTAATACTGTACAGATAACTTTTCCATATAAACATGTTTTGGGGGAATACTTGATTAAACAGATGCAAATTAAAGGGAATGTTTTCTTAGAGCCATCTTTGATAGATTACTTAGGACTGGAGTTTGTATAAAAAAATCACAGCTGTAGATAGGTATAAATGCCTCTTAATAAAAACTCAGAATTTTCCATAATGCACCTGCTCCTAATTTTCCTAATGAAGGTCTGTATTTGTAAGCGTAAATAAGTACGATATTCAAAAGTCAATATTTCTTTAATGAATAATATCATATGTATATGTATGTGTTCGGTTTAGCTGGTAATCTAAAAGGAAATGAAAAAATCGCTGAGAAACTGCAAGGGCAGTTACTAATTGATAAGCTAGAGATACTTATTTGGCAACCATTAGAAAAATGTATCAACACCCCCACAAATATTATTCCAGTAAATTGGCAAAAAACTGGCTTGAGTAAACCATATGTCAAATTATAAATCATTTTAAAGATTCATGCATTCAAACAAATGTAAAATCTCTCGATGAGATATATAAATCTATGTCTCAAAAGAAACATACTTTTGTGTACATAATGTAAAAGATTGAGATACCCTAAGATGCCCTATTTGTCTTACTGTTGAAACAAATGTCATGATAAAAATAGGATTTGATTAAACAAATATAAGTATATAGTGTATAGTCCAACAAATAGTTTAAATAGCATGAGAAGAAAACAAAGATTTCGCTCATATTTCTTAGAAAACTGTAATAAATATTCACACAGCCGTGAATAGATTTGAGATTTTTTGACGCAAACTTTACGAACATCTCAAGGGTTGCTTGGTCTGTGCCTAATCAATTTAACATCTGATCATAAAATAACACAGGGCTTTGGGGTTATTTTAGGCTTCACAGTGAAGTATCCTAAGCTTGTATGTATATCTGAAGTTTTGGCATGAGTAGATGATCCTACAGATTCTACATTCTGAACTGTTCACACACATATACTGATTAACATGTGTAATTCATTAACAAGCATTTTCCTCATTTACATGATTTCATGAATAGACCCATTAGTGAAATTTAGATGTTATATAATACAACATGTTATTTAGTATAACAGACTCTAGGGTAACATTAATAAGAAGATGTAACGTTTTTGCATTATTAAAACATCAAGAAAGCTTTATCCACTAAGATTATTTCTAGACTCTGGGCTCCAGGGTATGATTAGAGATGTATAATTGGCATGTTTCCTTCATTTAGATGTGACATTTCTGAATTTGAAACATAATCATTAAATCCTACCTGCACGAATATGAACACCAAATGAACATCAAAGATCTTATGAAAAATAAACCAAGTGGAAACACGCTCAGTGCATGTAGGTGCCAACACTTTTGTTCATAATGAGCTGGAGATTATATGAGTAAATCAAGGATTAATCGCACGGAAGATAATCTATTTTGTTGGCAAATGGCTGACATAAACTACAAAGCACAGTTTAATATACAAGTTTCTCTATGCCAAAATTATGTGTCTTCTATTGCTGATACACAACATCGTATGTCTTAACAAAAAAATTCAAATCATTTTTTGGAGTATAAACTTATGTTCCCACATATTAGAAAAAAAGGATATATTTATGCATATGGTTTATTGACCATACTTTTTAACTTTTCGAAAATAACATCATTATGTTCTTTAGTAGATTTTGTACATAATACCACCTTTGAGAATATCACATGGTTTATCACTGCATCACATATGCATTCGCTGAATGAAAACTCTAAGAAGGGATCTGCCATATACAACATAAGTGACTGCCATATCTTACAAAAAAATTTCTCACACATCAAAAAATAAACAAATGCCTTGGTTACTGAAATATCACCCGAAATGAAAAAAATACCAAAAAATGTGCAATACAATAAAATCCAAGGGAGTGATTTGTAAATGGTAACATATTGAGCTCACTTGAAATTAGACAAAAAGCAAGTTATCCCCACTGACAAGAAATCTAAATGTTATACCCAACATCCAACAAATCTTTAAGAATCTGAGTTCAAAAATCATATATTTGAGTTAAGATCTTCAAAACCAAGCCGGCCTTTTACCTGATTATACGAACTAATACATCAAAGTTAAAAGGTATATAAATCACATTTGGTATCTATACAAACTCTATGAGTTGATAACAGAAAAAACCTGAACTTGTAGCTATCTCCCTATAAGTGTATGTTCAACCGCTTTTGACATGATCACAGTTTTTAAGTTGGGCTTTTCATATGTTAAACAGGAGAGTTATATTCACAGGATAACAACTTGAGTTTTTTTAGTACCCTCGAATAATGACAAGATGATTGTTCAGTCTAATGTTATCAATTAAATGTATGATAAATCGTTTTCTCATGACGGTTAATAAATGAAAAGTCAGTGTGTATGATTTGTAATTTGAATACGTTTATTCACAGTGATATATTGTTGGCAGTTCAAAGGGGTTCAAATGTGTGAGTAAAATCAAATTTAATTATCCAAAAATGTAAAGAGAGGTCGTGTCAGGTTTAAATAAAAATCAAACATATAGTTAAAATGAGTAACACAAAGATACAATGCTATTGTCCAGATATCGCAAAATCTGTGCGGTTTCTTACCTTGGTGGGGCCCAATCGTGTTTGGTTGCATCTAGGAGAGTCCCTACATATGTCTTGCCTCGCCATGTGACATTCACCACCAACATACCTGTAACATTGCAATGGGTTCATATTTATAATCTACAGACTATGTGCTATAATGAAAGGGAACAATGAACAGATCATGTTTTTGATACAATTTAAATAGTTGATTTGACTTCTCTAAAGAGTTTGTATCCAAATTACAACTTAAAAGGGTATTCTCTTCAGTTTCAGTCATGACTGGATGTAACCATTAAAGGTTTTAATGACTGTACTATATTATGAAGAGGACTGGATCACAAGGAACTACTGTATGACAAATCAGAAGTAGGTCGGAATACCCCACAAATATATCTTAATTCTTTCTATTATTCTTTCTATATTCTTTCTGCAAAGGTTTGCCATGAGTCTTCCTATTCCAATTTTGAAATAGTAGCAATTTATATAAATACACGGAAGATAAATGAATCAACAATATCAGGAGACTGGAATAAAATATACATTTACTACCATTTATTGGAAAACATATTATGATATCTATATGTTAAATTAACATCCCCTTTATGCAACAACTCAACAATTTATAGGAATTACTAATATCCAATATCTATCAACCTGTAATTTTCAAGATACAACCAAGTATAGAAAGTGACAGAATAGCGCTAATGACACAGAAAAGGTGCTTTATCAAAAGTTTATAGACAAAGCTAACAATGAACAAAGGTTATCAGTAGATTATTATATTCTCTAGGATAAAAGGGTTAACAGTATATTAAGTCTCTGAAGGAAAAGGGTTAATAGTTGATATGCATGCCAGACTTGTTAGTAGATTAGTTGAGATACCAAAGGCTTTCAAAACAAGATGTAAGATCATATAACAGTTAGATATTATAGCCAGCAACAACTAATTACAATAAATTGTTGTGCCTTTGAATTGCACATGACATGTTACTGACACAAGGGCACTGTAGTGTAGGATATTTGACACTTGAGATATTTGGGGCTCACAGGTTGCAAATCAGGGAGTGCTGAATCAGTTAGATAAATCTGGTGGGAAGAGACAAAGACACATCTAAGATCTGATATTCTACCCAGTAACATAGAAAGATTTATAAACCAAACATCCAAAATATTATTCTAGCCAGTTTTATTAAATGTGTAGGAGAGGGTGGGGGTGATAACGCAGACACTTCTGAAGTTTTTTTTAAATCAATTAACAGATATCATAATCAGAACAGATCTGTTTGTTACGTTATGTACTGAAAACAAAGTTCAATAAAATACTTTTAGGACATTAAATATGCCTCCTACACTATTTTCTCAGGATGTTACAGGCACATCTTTTAACAATAATTTTCTGAAAGGTCTAGACTAATCTTGCGCAAGACCCTGCATGGGTCAGACCCATTTCCTCTTCAAAACAATGAACCATTTTCTCTATTACCACAGAAACCTAATATTCAGATGACTTTGAACATTTGTGCCACTTGGTCCAGACCAATATGAAGTCAAAATTAGTGTCACTGAAAACAAGCTACATGTTAATGGCCCTATCATTAAAATTACAAACAAAACCCCAACACATCTCCTTCACTTCCTTTTGTTTATCTATAGAGGCCAGCATTTTATTATCTTTAATTAAGAAGGATAATTAGCAATAAACAGTGACACAACATTTAATGGTTCTAACATCTCCACGGAGACTGCAGTTTTACCCACCATGTGATTATCCAGGTTTCAGGGCAATTGTTCATATCCATACTCCCTGGCCTGATTCTTTATCAATCAAACATGTGGTAACCAAAATTACATAAAAGATAATGAATTTCACAGATGTTCATAAATGATCATTTATTTTTATTTTGTTAAGGCATGTTTTGTATTCAACTTTCCGCTGCATAACTCTTGGTCAGTTTAAAAAAGATTCTTTTCAGAATGACTCTACTTTCACACCAGCTATTTATTAAATCCCGCAAGCAGAGAGCAGACAAACTGTGTAGGAGATATCTTGCCATATAGAGCTCTCGAGACCCAGAGAAAATAACATCTTGATATACCAAGTGCAAAATGAATTGACATAACAAAAGTTTCAAATCTCACTTTAAGTGGATAAGAACTGATAACTAAGTAGAAAATTCATGTTTAACTACAATAGCAATACTACTTAGCCCTGAACATGGATAATTCTCTGGTTTCTAAATCAACACAAATTGACAAGTGGTCCCTGCCAGCATTCCCTGGCTAAAGGCTATCAGTCTAACCCTTTCACATGATTTCCCCTTTCACATGGCTTCTTTAATATCTTAAGAAATCTCTGAATAAACATCACTTATAGAGATAATAATAAATCCAGTTTGCTGTCTCAAAAAGAATTTAAATTCAAGACCCTTATATTGAAACAAAATTCTAATTTTGGGCATTTTCTTTCAGCATTATTATCGCCAAACATTTAAGATACTAAAACTTGTTACCAGGGCAACTGCTTGCTTTTCATCTCCAGTGATATTCCACTCTCAACCCTTACTAAAGAATATATATCTAAACTTTGTTAACTCTGACCTGAAGATTTTCAAAAATGAGCAGATGTCATAAATACATGACTGGCCTTTGCCTTAAAGTTGCAGGTTTGTGCACATTTATAATGCATACACAGGCCTCATACTTCATACTTTTATCTTCATTTGTCATGAAAACTATGTACACATGATACTTCAAGTGTTATATCTAAAGGGGTCGTCTCAAAAACTGGTCCTGTACTGCATAATCAATAACCACCTCAAGACATATGTCCTCCTAATCACTGTTGACTGTTTGCCAGTATTAAACATAGACCAGTGATTATAATCATGCATACATGCTACTTTAACAATACTCTATAAATTAAGAACAAGCGGGGAGTCCTAAAATATTCATATTTCAAATAATTTCCTTTATCATGCTCTCTCATAAGACATTGTGTCTATTCAATATACAGTATAACAAATGGCACTTAAAAATCACGACTCTTGTTACATAGAAAACATATTCCCTTGTGTTATATTACTTCTGTGAAATAAAAGACAAATGAAAACAGTTACTGTTTAAATAGCCAGCAGTTGTACATGCTAATCAGTGTAAGATGTTAGTTGAAATGCAAAATGGAGAATGGGTTCCTTTAGGTAGAAACCTTTGTGTACTTGACCTTTCAGTTATAATATTAGTATAGTATGGTACATGTTATCACCGATTACTGGCCCTAAGAACCTTTGCCAACTAACTAATGTAGTTATCAGAGACTGGCTTCATGACATATCAATGATTTAATGGCAGAGATATTTATGCACAAACTTTGTTTCATTTCGAAGGGGGGAAATAAGGCCAGCACTTGACTTACCATTTTCTGTTTCGTTCCAGACAATACCATCCAGTGTTACACTTGTACCCGGCTCGCAGGGGCCAAAACAATCTGGATCGGTTGCCGTGGCGATGGAGCTGGTTTCCACAGCAACATCTTTCTTGGTATCTGCAGGAGGCTGTGGCACTGGGGTGGACTGGGGGGTAGAAGTCTGTGGGGTGGCAGGTGTGGCACCTTGACCCTGGGGTGAAACACCCTCAGACTCACTCTGTAAAATATAGAAGGATTTCTATTTCTTAAAAATATACATACTCATATCTTCATATGATATTATCAGTGTTTACTAAAAATATTTCAAACCAACAGTACTAAAGTTGTTTTGCTTAACAAAAATATGTGCCTGAGACTTCCTTTAATTGGATTGGGATAATACAAGAAGTAGCATGTGATCTTATAATGGTAATCAGTCATCATAGAAAACAGGGGGAGACTGATCACTATCAAAGAGGAAATGTCTAATTTTGACACATGTTTATTCCCTTTCCTTTTCAAGTATCACATCCTTTCTCTGAAAATTGCATTTCAAGAAAAAACACATCTATATTTGGTTACAGTTTCTATATTCTTGGACTAACCAAGTGTGTTATTTTAACAACTGCCTAAACAACCTCATGTCTTTAAACACCATGGAGGTAGTCTTCAATCTTTTTAAACTAGGCACCAGACAAAGGGAGCCAGTATAAGGGTTTACATTTGGTGCACAGACCCTATCTATTCCATGCTCTTTTCCCTTACCACAAAATTACAGTATTTTTGATGAATACCATCCATTGAGACATATATACTTAGGGCTATTTGAGTACATGTGCTGAATTGATCGAATTCAGTGTGTTTTCATTGGAATCAACATGAAATTCCAAAGTCTGGGAGAACATACATTAGATGTATGTATATAGAATGAACAGTTATTGCCTAGAGCTAGGGATTTATTCCCAAATAGCTTACACACTCTTGAGGTTTGGCATCTGTTACACATACAAATCTACCCTTTGGTTAAAATATATCGCTCTCACTGGGAACAGTGATTCTGATATTCTACTAATCATCAGAGAGTACCACGGAGCCAGGCTCATATATTTTAATATACAGAGACAAGTCATTGAGGGACGACAACTTGCTCTGATAAGCATGACAAACTCAGAAAATATCAGTAATATGTAAAGAGTACGAGATGATGAATACCAATATTGAAAAGGGTAGCCAAATCATATCCCACACAGAAAAAGTTCTCACAGTTCTATTATCACAGATTTTAACCAAGCACTCGGATTAGGGACAAATTCCCTGTCATTCTCAACAGAACATTAGTAATCTAACAAATGTCAGTTTTTTAGTGACTCGTTACAATTTTTACAATTTCACAGGAGAATTTAGACATTTACCAAATGAGAATATAAAACATTTGAAGTAGATATCTTAAAGCAGTAAGGTGAAATATTTTCTGGAGGAGAGATATCTCTCTCTGAACACTGAACATCCTCCTCATTTCAACTGCTAATCTTGTTTGGATACCCAGGCAAAGTATTACACAATCACCATGGATATTCCCTCAGAATACCCTGACACAATATAACATTATTACCCGCTCTGGTGGTTGATTTCACTTTTAAAAAGACAACCAACAAAGTTCTATGCTCTGTGCTGTGTGTTTAACCTTATCTCAATGGATACTTCCTCCGTTATCAACAGCATCTTTATCTATATCTCAAACATTAGAAATGCATAACTCATTATTTTTGCAAGGGCTGAGGAAGAGAAGCTAATAATATTTTACACAATTTGGTAGCTATAGAGCAATACACTATGTATCTGACATCTAATCAGCCACCAGTTCAATTTTCCCCAAACTGCAAATAAACCAATCAAGACTGTACCAAATTAAATAACGATAACCGAGAATTTATAATGACCTATTTTCACCATTCAGCTACCAGATACACAGAACTTATAAGCTCATTTTCGATATTATACAAAATAAAATTAATCATAATTAATTTAGGTTCACTGGGGTCTCATTCTAAACATATTAGAAGGTCAAATGGCGAATATTTCCAATAAATGGGAGACTCAATGTAGATTTTTTGCAAATACGTGGAAATGATAAAGAAGTTACTGGTTGGTGTGAAATAGGCTTGAAGAACTAGAAAGGTGTTATACTTTCATAAAAAAACTATAAAATATTCTAACAACTGAAATTGACAGAAAAAACAAACAAAATAACCACTGGCATTTTGAAATATGGTAACGAATTGCATGGTATCTGACAGACCAAGGACTTTAAACATCATTATTGGTTATTATAATTGGTGGTCAGTACGCTAGGGGCAGAGTTGCCTGTAAAATAAACAATCTGAGATAAATAGCAGACCACACAGTCAAAGCAACAGTGGCACTTCCAATGAAAGATACAACCCATATCTCATCAGTGATCACCTGACATGCATGAACCAATCAGATGTGAGAACCTAGTGTTAATCACCTGATCTCATGGGGATTATCAGTAATCCTCCAGGACTTATGGTTAATGGAACAGTGAAGCTGAAATTGATATGTATGACTCTAGATCTCCTACAGCCCAGTAACAGACACATGGCGATCATGTGGACCTACATTCAGCTGAACTGAGAAGGCACAAATATGTGGTTGATTTGGAGGTGTTGACCACAGAACACAATGAATATCAGCAAAATTGGGCATAGAAACTGATAATTATTGCCAGTGTATAACCAATAAATTATTTATGAATTCATTTCACTGACATCAATTTTTCATTTTGGTTATTCAGCTTTCGTGCTGATTGCACCAGGGGCTACTCAGGATAGTGCCTCTAATTTACGAATTGAATGAACCTTCTTGTAAAATAGAGTTGAGTGGCCCTTTCATGTTTTTCTTGGTTGCTATTTAGACAAACATGCCATAATGTTATGGGCTACCATAATGTCAAATATCATAAAGCTCATGAAACATGAGAGAAAGATTTTTTTGGAGGTAGATTTAACAATTTACAGGGTGATTGGGCTAGTAGTGACACATCTCCCCAAACCCAAACACAACATAGCCTACCTAACAGGCCAGCCTGCACATAAGAACAGGTTCTTATCAAACCACAAAGGAGTAGACCTTTAAGTGTGGAAATTCATCTGGTGCAAATGATCCTGTTTAGTAACATTTGGTGTCACTAATTATCTCTGGCAAAAATCTTAGAAAACAGACAGTGAATCTAGAAATAAGCCTTTCTTCACACTCTAACTGAGCAAGATTACTTATTAACCAGGAACCAGGACTGATCAAAATTTTGGTTTATCTGTAAAAAATCAATCGTCCGCATAAATATTGATAAGGCTGCAGAGGTTCCGATTATGCTTACAAGTAATATTCAATTTCATCATCCTTTCAACAATTCTCAAAGCATCGTATTATGTTTATTCTTTTGATCATTAACAGCTTTTTAGGCGGATTCAAAATGAGAATGTATTTACTCTTCACAATAAAAGATACATAAACCCGAAGAATGTAAAAGTGAAAAGCCGGACAATGTTGAACATGTCTCACCAATCACCACACAAAGGGGCTCAACTTACATGCAGTTCAATCAGGAGAGACACGAGACTGGCAGCTGACAATATAGCTTGCAGTCTGGCACATAGCCACAGAATAGTATTGCTTCAAGTCAGTGGACCCCCCCAGCTCCCTCCCCTCTTCCCTTATCTACAGAACTTCCCCAACATATCATGTGAGGAGGTATGTAGTGGGGATGCTCACAAGGGTTTGCTAAACTAGTACAGAAAAACATGTCTAATTTGGTGATTAGACAGCCCATGTAAATGATAAGAGAGAGGTAACATCAAATAAAGATATATCTTGGAACTATCTACTGTTTAAAATACAGAGGATGTTAGGCATACTGTTATATCAGCATTGCATATTTCTTCATTCATAAGAAATATTTTTGATGACTGTTTGGCCAGGGTTTTCAACTACAGTATGATAACATTTTGGATCTCCTGCATGTTACAAAAAAGAAAAAATATCTATATGTAGTGCACTAATATCCATTATTATAATGATTACATTGATTCTCTTTTAGATAATTTGATTCGCTTCTTAAGAATAGAGCTTCATGTGCTCGCCTCTAGCTACTAATAACATTATCAAGGTTTGCAATCTTCACATGACGTGGTTCATATGGGCCAGGTTTTTTTCATGAGTGCCTCGGCCTCAGCAAAGATATCAAGTATTTGTCTGAGGTTAGATGTTACATGAATATCCCAGGCTGAGTTCTATTTCTAGCAAGCTGATATGAAAAATTCCAGGTTAACTTCAAAACCAGATTACTACAGAGGGTTCCTTATTACTTTCGGAATATACAAGAGTTCTAAATATGTCTTCTGCTAGCCTGTATCTTTCAATCATTTCTAGTGCTTCTGGTATGTTTGTTTTACAGTTTAGATTAATCTTAAAAGCAGTTATGTTTCAAAGTTTGAAGATTTGTTGATTGGAAGGGAAAAGAGCAGATATGGTTACTATGATATGTTTGAAGGTATACCATAATGAACATTTCCTGTTTAATTTCTTTTAAAGCCACCATTTTCCAGTTGTTGGAATACTATATACTATGTACAAATATATATACTGGCTTTATTTTAAAAAGTGATGTCTCATAAAAATCGATGTTATTTTACATTTAGCAAAGTTAATCTATCATTCACTCAAAAATTGGATTAATATCTCCATGATACAAAAGTAACATCACACTGATATTTTTAAATTTCTACCAAGTCGTATCTATTTTACAATAATTATCTTGTATTTCTAAATCTTATATTTGATGATGTTGTAATTCTAGGATACTATAAAACCTGTATACTTGTGCATTCAAAGAACAGGAAATCATAAATGAAACATGAAATTAGATGATTATATTCGAAATATGACTGGTTGACCTGCTATGGCCCCAGACTGTAGACAGTCCAGTCAATCTAATTTGATAGATCAAGGAGAAAATTCAATAAAGTATGCATTAGCCTATTACCCATGAGAGGATATAGAACCAGCTAACATTTCATTAATGAAACTACATCTAACAAGAGCAATCAATAGAACTCTGCGTGCAGAACTCGTCAATCAGATTACGCGACAGATTTTCTATATTAAAGGGACAATATCGGAAATCGGGAATAATTCCTTAGAAAAACTTCAAAATAAATCGTTGGTGCCTCAAACCTGCCCCTAAGAATGGCTACGACGTGAACTTACTTTTGTCAAAATACCGGAGCCTGAAAAAAATCACTCACCTAGATATCAACGAAAGAAGTGTCAGTTTCGTTCGACTGCGAGAGCAAAATTGAAGCTGAGCTAAACGGTTTTCGTTTGTCGTAAAATTGACCTCATTTAACTGCGCCATCTGGCGAATGAATCATTGTTTCGTGTCATATGATTCGTTGTTTTGTGTCACGTGACCTACCTTTAGACCTTTTGCCACCTATCGTAAGTTAATCGAATTAAAATGAAATTTTTCGATCCAAGAAGAAAATTTGCACAAAAATTATAAACCCCGCTTGACATAATCTTTGTCACTCTATCGTCTTCTTGATGAGGCACATCGGAACTTGGGATTAATAGCCATTCAACCAAGCCACAGAAAGTATGTATATTAGTTGTTCAACATGTTCAATAGTGTTAATATTTCCCGGAACTCGGCCTTTAAAGAAAAAAATATGAGAAAGGGTGTGAAAATAATGCCAACCATTGTGCAGTTTAATCTTGTAAATTTTTCTGAAATGTCATGAAATTTAATGAAATTCACTTGTGGATATAAACAAAAACTATTTTTGGAGGACTGAGATATGTTTATTTTGGGAAAGCTCCTAGGTAGTCTCTCAAAGCCTTTAATTATCCCCATAAGCCTTTGTAAGGACTTCACATACCTTTTATCAATTCACATTGCAGTAGTTAAGGCATTAAGCGAGGTCAATATATCATTTACAATAGATTGGATTGGCATTGCGTAAAGAAAAAAATATCCGGGAGAATGTTTCTTCTTCACTTGACGTAGACACTATATGACATGAATTATAGATGGGAAAGTTAAGAAGGAAAACTAGCTGGAATGACAATTGGATTCATGAAAAACAATAATTACCTTTTCTGATTTCCTATTGTTCTTCATTGGAAATGTAGTCATTGATCTATCTTCGTCTTTAGCGTTGAATTCATAAGGGTCATTGGCTACTCCGCTTTTAATTCCAAAGGGTAAAATACTGTCTGTGTTTAAGCCGGCACTAATCCCATCGCTATTTGTCAATGTTGTAGTGGGCATTAAAAATGGGTTTCCATTGGAAACATGGGCATTGTTTTTCTCTTTACTTTTGTCTTTTTTGTTAGATGTCCCCCTAGGTTTGAATTTATCACTTACGGGACTATGTTTGAGTTTATCGGGAGAGTTTATATTATTGGCACCTGTAGTTCCAAACAATCCGAGGCCATGCTTGCCGGGACTATTTCCCATCGTATTACTACTCTCCGTCCCACTCAATCCAAACTTGTGCTCAGGCTTCACAAGTTCATGTTTTGGGTCTGGTGTTTTCTGATTCATATTTTTACGTTTTATTTTCATTTTGAGTCCTTTAGATCCATCGACCGTTGCATGATGTTCCATATTATTCCCACTCATTTTAGGGGAAGGAGTTTTTTGGGGTGACGTTTTTTCTAAATCGGCATCGAGATCAATTATTAGATCGCCGACTCCAAAGTCCCAGTCAGTTTCGTCTTCCTGGAAGCTAGGCTGTGATTGGTTCACTCGGTTAGCAGGTGGCGCCACACGGTGGCCTGATGGTGAATTTTCTTTCATTTGCCGTTTTTACCCATCTGAGCTGATATACGCACATCTAACCTACAAGCACAAAACAAAACAACATTTTATTATTATGTTCACCAGATAGCCAACGGCAAACACTCGACTCATAATGGGCATAAAATTACAAAAGTGCCTATTAAACTCATCTATTATTTCTTTACCTGTAAGCATAAACAAAACTATGCTAATTATATCAACATTACTCAAGCAGAGTTGTTTCCTCTTTGATAAAAAACAACATGTTATCCTAGCTGTTAAAGTCAATATGCTACAGATGTTTTGATAAATTGCTAAATCCAACTAAGCTCGGCGCTGGCAAGTAATCCAATAACATAACAACACAGTTAATACTTTAAAATCACAAGTTTTATTGTTTCATTCTAAACTCAGTGCTAAAATGTGGAAGTGTTCTTGAAATGAATTTAAGATTAACATTGTAGGCCTATATACATATATTTAATACAAAGGATGAAAGCAAATAAATTCCTGACTATTTGCACAATGTAAACTGACTCTTCTTATGTTGCCTAACAGAGGGTGTGTTTACCAATCCTATATGAACACAACTTGTTATTTTTTATCAGTTTTTGACAGCAAGTGTCACAATTAAGTATTCAAGTATATTTTACAGGCCACTTTGCCGAGCAATATCGAATTGACACTTGTGACCCAAGTATAAGAAGTAATAATTTCTGTTTGAAACTTCAGAATATCAATCAAGTTTTCTTTGACAGCTCCAGTAATATTTTATCATCGATTGCAGCTTAGAGTCAAATACACCAATCAGAGGGGTCTCGTACAAAGTCCCCATCAGCAAACAAAAGATAAAATTAGGGCGTCGCAATACCTGGTAATTCAGTATGGTTGCGGGTTTGAACTTCAAACCTAATAAAACACTTTTCTTCTAAATGCTGATAACTTTTTTATAATTTTCTCATAAGATCGCTCTCAATTAAAAATGAAAAAATAAAAGTTAGTCATGTTGTGCGGAGACAATATATTCATATATACTACCATTATTGTGTACAATACAACATTGCATGTGAACTTTGACCTTTGCATTCAGCCTTCAAGCACATTCCTATTGTTCTGCAAACCATTAGTTTTACATATCTGTGTTGATCTAAACACTCGACTAAAATACCCTGAGAAACGGTCTATTTTGACCTGTCTAGCCTAAATGATAAACACAGCTCAACATAAAAAAACACTGAATAAATAAAATAAATTATTTTAGCTTTCATGTCTTTTTCCCACACATCAATTCCTACAACTCAATAAAATAACTCTCGAGTTTTCACCTCATTTCGATTTGGCGATTGCTCATCTAATACGGCTCCATATTGTAGGTTATTGTAATTTATACAAAATTGATAGTTAAACGAGACTTACCTTGGTAAGTTGAAGTTTGACTGTAGTTCTACCGAACTGTATGCAGGAACAAAGAGATTATATGAGAGAGCGGTCAGCTGCTGGTTAATCACTATTGAGAGCATTGAGTGATCACATTGTCATGATGCAGGAACAATTTGGGAGGGATAGGGTGGGATATAATCTCTTTGTTCCTGCATACAGTTCGGTAGAACTACAGTCAAACTTCAACTTACCAAGGTAAGTCTCGTTTAACTATCAATTCTACCTCACTGTATTACGTAACAAAGAGACTATATGAGATTTTAAAGCATGGGATCACTCAATAATTAATGAATATCAAAATAAAATTTTGAAACAACAAAAGTATAACTTTTGTAATGAAGATTATCTTCAAGAAACATCAATTATAGAAACAAAACAATGAAATTGTTAAAGCTGTACTCAGACAATCTTGTGTCAAGTTACTCAGAGCTCACAAAGGCACAATGCCCACAGCTGTGTAAAAACATATCCTTCCCTTTAGGTTTATTGATACACTACTATCTAACTCATTTGGAATAAAGTTTTTGACATTTCAAAAAATAAAATAAAGCATCACATGCATTCCTGTAGTCTTATCCAGATACTTATATGGATTTGGCATGAGTTGTTAATTGCTGCTGTAAATTATTACATCAATTAATGTTTAAGGTTTCTGAAGAAACCCAGTTATAAGTTCTCATTTTTAACTGAATGTATCTACATAATGTCAAAACATTATCAAATAATCACATGAATTCATATTTGATGACCAGTTTTATGAGATTTAACCATTAGCATGGTGAATGGTCTAAAGTGTAACATCTCATTTGTAGTAAAATATTTTTAAAAATCAACATCCATTCAAAGTTGCAGTAAAAAGGTTATTTACTTTTTATTTTTATTTTTTTTATTTCTTAAAGTTGTTTATTCTATGATTGAGCAACTTGTTTATATATCTCTAGATGTGAAAAATGCAATGCTTATCTGCATCCATTCTGCTACTCATAGCATCTTCTGTTTTACTTAAAACATCTCATATGAAATGAGGTGTCATGTTTTATGACGATTTGCATGTAGTTAGCGCTAAGCCACGCACATTGACAAACAATGAAATACTTTCATTTTTAGTGAAATACTTATTTATCTGAGGTGATGTAAAGTATACAGTGCTACAGGAATGAGCATATCTAATTACATTAAATATGTAGATGTCCAAAAAAGCCTCTGTCAGGCCTAATCTTGTTAAATATAATTATAACTTATAGCTTACATGGATATTTCAAGTAAAGATTGGGTATCTTTAGAAAGTGTTATCAAAAGTGTTTGCTTTATAGAAAACTTCAATATTCAACACTTGGATAGCTGGGGCAGCTAACAATAACTTGTATAATTGAAAAAATATTTAGAACTTTGCTTGTTGGCAAATCTGGGTATACTGTAATGAGTACATGTATTTCACCACCCCCCCCCCCCCACCCCCTCCTCTTTGGAAGGTGAGAGGGCAAGCCCAAAGATGCAACTTTGCATGTTCACCAGGTTCTGGTTTTTAGACACAAACAAAGGAATGTTGTGCCCTTTGTGCATTTCTTTCTTTTGAAAGATTTTATCAAAATACATAGACAACCCTATATCATTATGATATGATTATCTTCATCTTAGATTTAAGATCACAAAATGAGTCTCAATTAGTACTCTAAAGCAATAAAACTTATATTAGGGAACATTTAAAAGGGTTTGCAACTCAAGTAATTACATTTTCATAAGCACAAATGTTTTCATATTTGGATTCTGCATCTACTTCCAAAGTAAATGTACTCACACTAGACTATACCATGGATGAGCATTGAATACCTTTACAATCATTTTAAGTGTGCAAGCAAAGATTTCGTCCCATTTATAAAGTTTGAACTATGAGAGTCATACAGTCACACATTATTAGGCCAACTTTTGATGTAGATTCTTTCTAAGTAATTAAAGTCATACTATTATCTTTTTTAGAAGAGCAAGGGTTGCCTTCAAATATGCCATTTCATATACAGCATCAACCACTCCCTGATGCATCAGTGAAGAGGGTCATGTCTTGGACACCATGACTGATTGAGTCACTGGATTTCATTGTTCCCCAGTCTGCCAGCTACATTAGAATCATTTGATAATGATATAATTGCTTCATAATTGCCTCTGATGTTTCATGCCTTACTTTCATCTTATTCAAGATTCATGTATTGAAAAAGTAGGAGATTATCATAAGTTGCAACAATAAAGACACAAACCCAATGACCTTTGAAAAAGATGCTCATGCTCATGTAATAAGTTTAGCAAAGCTGTGATTTCACATTGATTCTATGCTATCCTTCGAACTGTTTCTCATGTGTCCTTCCCAAGTAGGCACAATGTTTTGTGTGCATGCATTTTTATATGACTAATATCTGTCAAGGTACTGACATTAATGTAATACATACTGTATGAATAAAGATGAAAAGTGATAACACTGACTTCACAGTTTATGCATTTTCTAAAAAATTAGTGACCTAGCTAAAAAAGCTGATACTTTCAAGTAATTTTAATCTTAAACATTCTCATCAAAGTGTGTGATTTTATGATGCCTTATGATGCTATATCTAGTATTCTTTCTGTATAAGGCCAAATGTCTGTTTAGAAAGTTTCAATTTTGGATCATCCACACTTAAGATTGTTTAACTTTTCGAATGAAGATAAAGTCTTAGTCAAGTTTGTTTGAGGCATGGACCTCTATCCTCAAGGATAGAGTTGGATAAAAGTCAAGTTTTAATGAAAAGTTATCATTTCCCTGCACTCACTGTGCTAATTTCTCCATTTTAATCTAGTTTTAAAAGATATATAAGAATATTATGATTCCTGTTAAAAATACATTTCAAACTACCTTAGCTCTATTACCATGATAGCACTTGATCTGGGACAGATGCGATTGCCATGATGCAAAAAGACTTGATTATCAGTCTGAAACAGTCTGAAAATTGTGGCTTATTTTGCCCAATTGTAATGTTTCTTAGTAGCAATGCCTTCAAAAGGGTGCACATGTCCCTTATATCTCTGAAATTTAGTTGGAAAAACACGTTTTTGCGAATCTATTGCTACAATTTGATCCGAGCTGGGGCAGCTCTAGCTAGCAACTTCCTCAAAACAGGATTAGTTACTGAACATAATGGGTTTCTACATTTGTGCCATGCATGGCTTCAAACAAGCTTCTTTAATTTTTTCATACTTCTTAAAGAAGATGAAATGGGAAAAAAGTTCCATCAAGGTAACATACTTAAACAGTTTCGGAAGGAACTTCCATTCTTCAGTAATTACAGATATTCCAAGCAGTGTAAGGCTGGAATATACCTGTGTTCTATTTGGGAGGAACTCCCATTACCAACAATTAAATGATTCCTAGCAAGGGACTAAGTTTAATCTACATAGTTTTAATCTACATGCATCCTATTTTTAAGAGGAACTCCCTTTATAGTCAACTATTGGGTGGCTCAAATTTTTCGCATGCCAGCCATTTGACATCCTTGCCTTTGAGGTTTCATTTTTGGGAGGAACTCCCTTTTTAGTCAACAGTTGGATGATTCCAACTTTGCCAACATTCACATGCTGGCCATTTGACATCCTCACATTTGAGGTTTCATTTCACTTAAAAAACAAACCTTTAACGGTTACATATAAAAAAAAAAATTATTATATTACCAATCTTGCAGTGTTGGATTCATTACTTCGTGTAATAGAAGTTTGGAGAGACTGTACGTGCATCTGCAACTGGAACATAACTCTAGAACGGGCTCTAGAACCGGTAGCCTAGTCTTTTAAGACATCAAACCGATTTATTTTCTGGTAACATCCTCTCCTCGGACAATCATCCTATAATTTATCTTGCCACAGTCCGCAATTTCTTTTTAATAAATAGATTCCTCCGGAACAAGTGATATATCCTTTTTCTTTTTAAAAAACTAACATTTAATTTAGGCCATTCATGGCACTTTAAAAAATTGAAATTATTACGAATTAACATATCTACTTTAAGTAACAGTTCACTTTCTTTGGTATCTGAATTTAACATTTAATCCTCAAAGGAAAACAAAGGGTAAATAGCAGCCATGCTGCATGAGCTCTTAGTGTTAAGCAAGCTGAACCACAAGTGATTAACCAGCAGCTGACCGCTCTCTCATATAGTCTCTTTGTTACGTAATACAGTGAGGTAGAATTGGCCTGAACATGGCTAGTTGGGAACTGAATACAAATCCAACCCTTCAAGTTATTTACACTTGGCGCTCATAAATAGTACTATAATAAAAACCTTATTAAACCATGATACAGATCTGCCTTCTTAATAAAATTTATTAATAATTGAAAACTGTTAGTTTTTTTATTCAATTAATAGTTATTCCCTTACACAGAAATCGATGAAATATCTAAACCTAATATAATCTAACCTTCAGGAGGGTTTGTAAGAATGGTTACTAGCTGTTAGAACAGTGCTAGATTAGCTAAGTTCTGGCACCTTGCAATCTGGTTAAATAATTGAGAAAAGCCTGAAGAGGTCTGTGAAGTATTGATCAGCCTAGACTGGTGTAGCTTTACATACTAAACTTACCAAACACATGCTTTTATTCAATCCAATATTCAACTCTTCTGAAATTTTACCACAGCTTGATCGTACTATTTCAAACATATGTCCCGAGTTGGAATTTTAGTTTTCACTGAAATAAACTTTCCTGGCCTTAGTTTTGATAATCTGCCATGTGCTTGTTGGTTTCATTTTACAATTATGAATTTTGAGATGGTCCCTCTGGAGTTTATCCAGTCTGTATTCAATCAATCACACAACAGAATTATTAGTCCAACAACATTAGACCTAGCCTGGGCCTCGTTTCTTATCTGACATGTCTTATGGCCCCGGCTAGGTCTAACCTCCATGATCATTTTGCCCTTGTTGCGCGTTCCGCAGGTTTCGACCAGCGGAACTAATTAACACTGAAAACATGGTAATATTACATAAAGAATGTGATTCAAGCATGCATACATACCTTATGAATACATACACACCATCCCGTATCCCCCTTAGACCCTATTGATGCATAATTACGAAAATATTGGAGACAGGTTTGGAATTTTACGAAAATGTCGGTCAGTTCCGGTAACATCGAAATTGCAAATCGTTTCAGGAATTGACCGTCATTGCGACACTGCATCCACGAACAGTAGGTTTGCAATTAATAACTAATTTGCGTGTATACAAGCGCTACATAAATCAATCAAAGATACCTGTTATCCTCAAAATTGATCTTTATATCCCGAGTAATCGCGTGATAATTATCAATCTATTTGACAACAATTTCGTTTCAATAGTTTAAATTTTAACCCGGGACGAACAGACACAATGACGGACATGCGGAATGTCATTTTAGAGATTGGTAAGTTTAACCTCATTTTACTTGTATAAATGACCATTTAATACAATAATATTGTGTTGAATCGCTTGATGTTATGTGTTTTTATATTGTTGTCAATTAATAAGTAATTTCATGCGCGTTTAATTAATAACTGATAGTGAGAATTTGCAACAAATGAAAGCATACCACGGAAGTTAAACCCAATCACGGCAACAAGAACATTCAGATTAATAAATGAAAGCCGTGGTATTGGGTTTAACTTGTTGAACTACAGAATTATAAGACATGTGATGAGCATACAATTCCAGTAACTAAACATCTATAATTCTACAGTCAATATCTGCTCATATCAATAGTCTACATGGTAACAAAGATATGTATCTATTCATTGTTTAAAGATTATGACTTATGCCTAGAAACAAAACTTCAAAAGTTCTGATAGACCCTCTCATATCACTTTCCTCTCCCTTGTAAAAATAAGCCGTGCAATTTATTCAATATAAATTTTATAAAAAGTCCTAAAAACTGAAATAAATGAGCCGAGAATACTCCATTTCCTGCTATTTCCATTTTATCAGATATAATATGAAGAGTATACAAACCTATATCCCCTTTGTACACTGCTATTAAACTAATTACTCCAGAATTAAATTAATCCTTCCTGGGTCGCATACTGCTATAAAATCCTAACCAATGCTATTATAAAATGTCAGTTTCATAAATGATCTATTCCTAATCCAACTGAATAACAATAAAATCCAATATCCACGTTTTTTGACTATTTATGGGCTATTTTAGTCCATAAACTGATATTCTGTGTTGCTTGGTTGAATTCTGCCTGAAGACTGTACTACATCTGCTTTCAAGTTCTATAAACATTCTCATTATACCCTTCATTGCCTATAAGGCAGCCAGGCTGGTTGTGATTGGACTGGGGAGCCAGTGTGCATTAGAATGGAAGGAGGGTATTAAAGTGGGGAGACATGCTGCATGTATTTACTGTGGACAGCTTGAGCTTTTAGCCTTAATTAACCCTTTCAAGTCTGAATTTTTAAATGATTTCTAAATTATTCAACTCAATGTTTTACTGATAAAATTCTGATCGCATGATGATTTTAGCGCTTATCTGACATAAAGAGCTTTGATAAATAGTATACACAGTGAGATTTATTGTTTAAATATAGTCTGATTGATATAAAAAGAAGGACGTGGTCAAATATAACTTTCAAAAATTGCAATGAATACAATACAAACTTTCTTATAACAAACCACACAAGGTAAGGGTACAAGCCAATAATGAATGTTTGGTCGCAACTCTAGTCCTTTGTATCAGGTTTTGCTAGGAAGTTGTGCCTATAAAGCTAATTTAGTTCAATATGCGAAATAAGTCGTGCGGAAGCAACTCTCAAAGAATCATTGATATACGAGTCATTATGAATTATTAATGTAGAACCAAGCATTGTCTTCTAAAAACACATTTCCATTTAGCCCAACAAAATAAATACATTGTTTTTTGAATTACGCCTCTAGGTGACAATAAAAGTAGGCAGAAATTGGATCAAAAAACTAGAAGAAAGAGAACAATTAAATGGGATGGTTGATTTCACATTTGCCTATAATTTAACTCTCTGTAAAAAATTAGATGGTCTGAGCAGACTGAACTGAACATTAGTGGTATATCCAATTATTCCTGGAGCATATCGAATATGAAAATGCTATAAATACGTAATACAGATCTATGGGAAACTATTTATTTACATCACATTCTCCCTTCGCTTGTTTATTGATTGAGACACCCAGCTCATACTAACCCATCAAGATCTAAAAGAAATTATTATTTCATCCAAGACAAAGAGATTAATTACTCAAGCGATACTTTTGATTACGCTTCAGTTGCTATTACTCAATGTAAGTTAATTATCAGTTTATTGTTATCAAGTTTCAAGCGATAAAGTTCAATTCGAGATACTGGCAAGTTAAATATGGCAAATTATATCAATTATTACCCAGCCTGGATCTAATTATTATATGCTGCTTTCCAGCGTTATACTGGTTATATATCTTGGAAAATCATTAGCACTATCAGATCATTAATCACAAATTCATATGCTAATACACCAATAATCAGAATTACAAAAGTGAATATAAAACCCCCTGGGGAATGACTGTTTTATTTTATCTTAGTTAATCTTGGTATTTCTTGAAAACATGTTAAATATGTTAGAGTTACACAACCAGAATAAGAAACCACTGCCCTTGTTTTATGAAATGCAGAGGTCTATGTAGTTGATTACTAAATGACTTTCAATATGAAAACTCCAAATCTTGGAAATCAAGGAGAGTCAACTTCTGGAGGATGTTGGTGAGCTGATGGTTTAGGGTAAAAATCTCATGAATTATAACAGATAGCCAGCAAGGGAAGATTCAGAAGCCTGCAGGCTCTGCAAGATGCAGGAATGCTGAAATTGATGGCCTGATGTAACACTCATATTCCCAACATGTTATGAGCCCCTGCAGCCAAATCAACACCAGAGAGTCTTCTATCGGAAGTATACAATGCTGAGGTTATTTCCATGAACCACAAACATGTACAATAAGTTGAGCGCTCAACTTGCCTGAATGTTTGTCAAAATGCTTCTAATGAGGCAATTAAACCTGCTGTGTAATTCTAACCATTGTGTTCACCTAGTAGTTCTAAGCACTCTGCCTAATAGTCTGACTTTGTTTTTAAAAGAGGGTTTCATCTACATATATGTAGCCTCCTAGTCATAATTCAAGCTCTGGACCCCCCTGATCTATTTTCACACCTCGTGGTGGGAGGGTATATTGGAGGAGGGGGGGGGGCACAATGACTTGAGCTTGACTAGATGCCAGGCACCCTACTTCAATAGTATGATTTTAATCTACAGTAATACGCTCTGAGAATGAGGCGCTTTTTGTATCAAGGTTTTCTCTTTTATCAACAACACTTTTTTAATCAAATATTCTAATGATAAAGTATTTGATAACAATTATCTATGAACAGCCTTCTGTGTGGTCACAATTATAGTCTAGCCAAAATATCATGACATGTTATCTACTTGTTATCAATTTAATAAAAAGTTTTTTTTAACTTGAAAGGTTTAAAAAATCTTAACTGAGGTAAAGCATATACTACGCAAACTACAATCATGTGTTTGAAATATGTAATAAAAATAACATTACTTTGTGAATCACGCAAATTTACACGAGCTTAACAATTGTGTTTTACACGCAACAAGAAAACTACTACTAACTGAAAACAACTCCAATCGAAACATTTTGCCAAATACCAATGTCGTTTATAGGTTTTCGATAACAACAATAAAATATATTTAGAGCTACATGAGCAATAAATATCCGTAAGCTGATTGGTTTGCAGATGGTTAGTTATTTTGTTTATACAGATTACATATTTTTTTAAGTTATATGTTACGTTACGTACATATTTTATTAAAAGGAAATTTTATTATTAGTAAATTAATAATAAAAATTCCTTTTAATTAAATACATTGAATACTTCAAAAAATAACATTTTGTTGTTTGCCAAATATCTGCAATAAAAGCCGCATTAGTAATAATTTAAAACTAACAAGCAGAGAAATCTCAACCCACATTAATTATGGATCATTTCCAGATTAAAAGTGATTCAAATAATTCATGTTTTCATTGCACATTATTCCGTTATGTATATTTTATTTGATTTATTCCTATCAAATATTCAGACAGTGTTTCACCTTCAATTCCATGGGTTAATATTGATTCAAAGTATAAAACTTGCAATCATTTGCTTTCATGAGGGATAAAGGGCATAAATTCAACATCAGTTGTTAATTAATGTTATTAACTGTTTAACTCCTATAAGGCACTGTTACTTGGGCTAATTAAACAGGTAAGAAGTTGAATACAAATAATAATGAAACTTAATCATTAAGCATACAATGTTGGCAAACAAAATACTGAATCTGAATCAGAAGTAAAGCTTCTTAACAACACATCTATCCAATGGACTCTTAAACTCAAACAAATATGTGCGAATCAGGCCTTAACCCAAGCCAGGAACTGATAAATTGAATAGCCAGAGAAAACCATACCAGGGGGTATAATTTAAATCTTAAATCAACAAAGGAATTTCACTTTTAAGTTTGGATTAAATAAAACATAAACTAACAAGTTAACATACATGCATCCTGTTGAGGTCATTAAAATAAAAAATTATCTGGCATTTCAAGCTGTAACCTTAAGTGTCCATTAACCCTTTGAGGAGGGATGATTTTGATTGTTTTTTCTTCCTTCAAGAGGCTTTGTACACAGTTTGTCAAGTGATCAATCAATTGAAGATAATGCTTTATTCTGTAGCCTCTAATAAACAATCAGTAACAGCACCGCTCTGTGAAATATTACTTCTCTCTGATCAAGAAAATCTATATCCTACTCGTTAAACATGTACATATCCTTTAGTTCCGTGTATTGGCTCATTATTTTAGTCAATATTTCAGTTGAGCTTTTCAATTGATCCTTCAATCCATTTATGTTTTTCATATTTTCTATTGTTACAATAAATGATAAATAACAGTATGTAGCATTAATTGTATCAATTAATACTCTGAAAATAACCGTATTAGTCCCTATCATATTATCTATGTATTTATACTCTGATAATCGATGATAGCACTTTAGATACCCCTACAAACAAGCAAAGATAAAAACTGTTTTCAAATAAGAAAACTGACTCCAAAATAGGAAACTCACCACATAAAGAAGATGTTCTATCATCAATGAATATTCCTGTATTCAATTATTTTGAAATGCGACTCCACCATGTAGTGCTCAATTTCCATAGGTCATATGCAATGGCATAAAGTCAGACCGTGTGAGTCACACAATATCCACTGGTTAAGCTGATAGCTCAAAGTTGATCAGTTCAGTAAATATGCCAGTTAGCTCTGATTAAATGTAGCAAGTACCACAGCTGCGATAACGCTGTAAGATCTCAATAATACAGTGCAGAGATCATATATACTACGATCAATACACCAATACGTGCTGAACCTTCTCCAATTAAATTGGTGTACCTTTACACACTTAAAAATCGTACCTAAAAATAGATATAAGATTCGACTAACCTGGAACCAATGGCTTTTGCTTCTGATGATAAACCTTTTCTTTATTGTGGAGAAAACAAGGTCAATATATTGGAACACCAGTTTGGAGGTTCGTTTGGTACGACGACGTGCTAAGAATGTCCTGTGTACCGGTTATTCACAAGCAGGTTGCTCTAACAGCAAAGTTGATAGTCCACAATCGCAATCAATATCATTTGAGTGTTCAACCAGGTAATACAGCAAAAATTACCATAAGCTTGAATAAGTTGATTTACCTAAACTTTTGAAAGTATAATCCTTTAAAATGCTAATCCACTGCTGTTATGCTGCAAAGTGTTGCTACAGTTCAAGTTCCAGTGTAACATTACAGCTAGTATCAACACAGAACAAAGACCAACTCATAACCGTCAATCAATACAAGCTCCGCCCCCTTATTGGAATAAGCAGACGGATGGTAGTGATTGGCTGAGAGCCCTTGCTGTGTGATATTATTATTAATCAGTCAATTAAGTCCATACAGCTGACAGCGTTTGAGACATTTGTTATTGAGAAAGAGTGAATGAACAATTATCGCGTTACTCTCATCCAAACAGTCACAGAATAAACAAAATGGTTGCCACATGAACTCCTTCTCCCTCCAAAGTAATCTAATTATGTAAAGAAGACCTATGTAATGCTAAAGCGGGGATTGTCCCCTATCTTATCACTGTCTGTATTTGTATGTCAA